AAAATGCTGGATTAGTTTTGATAACTAACTCGTAGAAACTAGTGTGACGTTTCCAGAGAAAACTGGAAGTTTCAAAAATTTCTTTTGATATGGAGTTAAAAATCACTCTACTGGAACTGTGTGTGCAGCTTCATCAGGTTTTTCTTTACTGGATGCCCAATAGAAAAGATCTTTCTTTAAACAATGTATTAGAGATACTATAATCCTCCATTATCATCATCATTATTAATACCAAACAATTTCATGTTCCCTTAGATCTTTCCCTTTTCCTAAGAATGATCTACACCAACAGCAGCAATGCTGTTACTGTATTGTGAATACACAGTTTAAGAACATAAAAATTATTCATGGTACGGCTTTCAGCTTGAATCTTCCAGCCCAGAGAAATGAGAACATTGATGGGCATGAATAATCACTCAGTGGTATATATCTTTGTCAGCTCAATATTTTTTTCAGCAATCTTGTAATGGAAATAAGAAAAAAATCTGCATGTGTGTTTATATTTATGCATTAATGGATGACATTTTTAATTATTACTTAATATTTCTATTTAAGGCACAAAATATTTAGTCATCTGATTGCCCAAACCCTTCTTCAGCATTCCATCAAGTTTGTAATGTCATCAACCTGTAATGATAAATGGTAAAGGGCATTTCCTGACATTCAGTGACTGAGGAATAAAGGCAAATAGCTACATAACCGTCCGTGGGAGAAGGACAATACTGACTTCTCAAAGTAAAATCTTTGGCTAACAACTTATTAAATTTTCCTTTTTTCCTATTCATACATTTTCCTAGGTTTGTTTTTTCAAAACCTCTTGAGATCTTAATGGGATGAAAGCTGTCTACTTTCAGGCTAGTTGGTCAAATTTGCTGCTTTTAACATTTTTCAGTAATAGGAAATAATGGAAGCCATTGTAAACTGTGGATCAGCAAACTTTTGCCAACATGTTGGCAAAATACTTTTCTGTGAAGCATTTCAGAGTGCTATGTGGAACACATTCGTTTTCTAAAAAAATTACAAGAGCTGAAGCAGGCACCTGCCTGCGTATTTGTTGCCAGTATGTGCTTCTCCCTTCTGGCTTTTTCAAAGATTAGAACATGGAACGTTTTAGTGGAGTCAAACATCAGTAGCTTCACTAGTAGATTGCTGTGAAAGCTGTGCTTTTAAAGAAGATAAAATCCATCTGTCTTCTTTATTAATACATTTTGAAGGATATTCTTTGACTTCCCTTATTAGGTTCTAGACTAGCCCTGCAGAATGCTAGGAATTCAGTCTTGGTTAAGTCTGCGGAGCTGACACACATCAGCATTTGTTGTTACATCTTAAATGAAACTGAGAAGACAAATCCTGCAGAAGGCAAGGTCATGCACAGCCTTGTCGGTTTATTTTAAAAGAATCATTTCTGCCTGTAGAACTTCAGGCAAAAGCTTAGCTCTCATAAAGTGGAGTGTAACAGTAGGTGATGTTTATTCAAATATCATAGGGGTCCAGTCTACGCAGTCTACATGGCTTTGTCATCTTTTTTTTTTTTTTTTTTTTTTTTTTTTAGTAAGAGTTGCTGTATTCCATGGTAATTGTTGCTGACCTCTGGATAATGTTTAGGCTGCCTTCCAGGTCCCAGCAGAAAATGGTCAGATAACGGCTGACCTGACCGTAAGGTTGGCAATTAAGGCCAATTCTGAGGGTGTTTTCTCTGTTGTTGGTTCTGGCAAATTAAGAAAGGAACCACACTGACATAGTGAAATTTGACTAAAGCATTAATAAAGGAATAATAAAAGTATTTAGATCATACGAAAAAAATTGCAGAACAGTCCTGCCAATGTTTCATAAGGACAATGATTATTTTTTTATCAGGGAACAGGCTGATTTGCAGTAGTGTCAGTTCTGATGCAGTATGTTCAGGGTTTTGTTCACAAGTTTCCATATCTCTACAACACATTGTTATTACTTTTCATATATATCTTATCATTTAAGTATATAATCCTGTTCCCAAATCTTTTTCTTCTTCTCTTGAAACTGATGTGTTTTCTCAACAGCAGGGATACATCCGTACCCAAAATGTCTTGGAAGAGGATCCAACAGCAGCTGGGTTGCTGAGGGTTCTGTGCATCCCGTTGTGATACAGGAGATGCCTGCACCCTGACAGAATGGGAAGGATGAGCACTCTCACAATTGGTAGGTAACTGTTCCTCTCATAGGTGCAAGAGTTGCGAGTTATGAAGTTGAAAACTTGTGTGTTAGAAAGTTCACAAATTAAGTGTGAAGTCACGTGCAAAGGGGATTGAACCCATGTTTGTTGTGTTTGTTTTCTTTCTAGTGAGCTCATAAAATAAAGTTTAGTTTACGGTGTATCCTGTCCTGTAAATTTGGGAGATCGAAACAAACCATGTCCTATGTGCCTTAGGTCTTCTCTCTGAAAATACTTCATTGTGCTGTATAACAGAGAATCCATTGGGAGACAATCTATATGTCACATCCGTGGCACAGTCAAGTTAATGCAGTCTGATCAGTGTCACTGTAATTAACGTGAAAGCAGCTCAGAGTGCAGTCCCAGGCTGCGCTCATGGTAGGAAAAGAGCCACTTGAAATAAAGCAAAGACAGAGAACACAACACTGTGTTTTGCATGTGAAGATTCAGCATGCTTTGGAGGCAAATGGGAGCAGTCGTGCAGCAAAGGGGTACCCGAGGGGCATTTGAGCTGGCTTGGCTAAGGAGAATCTCGGAGGCTGCAAGGAAACACTGGCTTCCAACCATCTTTTCCTGAAAATTAGTGGGTGCTTATTATTGCCCATATCTCTGCAAAAACCACTCACAAAGGCTCCTTTAAGAAATCTTTTCTCCATTGGATCCTGCAGGAGTGTTAGGATGCTTTGGCCACAGAAGTTGGACATACAGTTGTATAGTCTTTGCTATATGCCCACAGTTTGGTACTTCAGCACCACGCCAAATGAGGTAAGACACTGTTTTTCTTCCAATGGAGTACTGGTTTAGCTGCAAAAATGCATTTGATTCTGGCTTCTTCATGTTATACCAGTGAGTAAAAATTTTTCTCTATCAGTTCCTATTCTAGCGGGCTTATAACTGCCAGTAGAGTTCTTCTGAATCCATAGGTGTTTATCCGTGTCATTCTTGGGATTCCCAACACAGTGGAACCTTTATCTGTTACAAATATTTCTTCACACGACTACGATAAAAATAATTCAGTGGAAATCTGTAGGATTCAGGTGGATCTAGCTGGTTTGCTGATTAGCGTGTTGTAGTCATTTTTCATTATACCCAGTGAATGCACTATTTAAAGATTTAAAGACTTAAATATATTTGAAATTCTGAATCAAACTGGAAAAACGTGGTTCCTCTTAACATTACCCAGTCATTGCTGAATGCCCTTGGATTGGTTTTGTAATGATTTAGGGTCACAACTCTTGTAGAAACATTACTTCATATCCCCTAACAAAGTATAGTGCTTGCTTTAGCAAACTGTAAATTTGTCAACGTGTGTTCATTTTAATTTTGTTTTCTTTATTTAGTTAGGAGCGTGTTACCCTTCAATCAGTTTTGCAGAAATGTTATTTATCTCAGCACAAAGGGGACACAAAATTCCCATGCAAAGAGAAATCACCCTGTGTAAATCTACAATGTGTAAATATAGTCATATGTAACAAAAAAAAAGGGAAAACACTTGAAGTTAATTTCAAAGCCACATAGGATGTTTCTGGTTTCAAGTACTAACCAGATTCATGCAAGCTGTTTGCATTTTAAGTGAGCAAACATAGTTGAAACTGCTTATAAAAATGAGTTGCATCCAGATTCGTAGCAGCACTTAGAAAGGGACTTTTTAGTCTTGGATTAAAAGTGAAAGTTTTTCAGCTGAACCTGTGCTAGAGTAATAGGATAATATTGAAAGTCTCAGCTCTCAGGAGTCTTCCTTTCTAAATCTTTCATAAACCCCAAACATTATAAACAGAAAAATCTGCAGATACAAATAAAGCCATGCATATTAATGACTGGAAGATGCTACTTTTTTTTCAGCATTCCAATTTTCTGTATTCTTATATTGCTCAATGTTTATAATAAGTGGCTTCAGTGGGGGCTTTGCATGTAAATCTCCTGGGGATAAGTGGAAAAACAGATGAGCCTCCTGAAAGTACTTAATTATTTTGTCTATCTCTTGAGATTCCATTCCCTTAGTATGACACTTGTTACTGACTCACCATGCCAGACTTATTAATATTAAAGTGTTTGAAAAAATCATATTTGAGTATAAGCATTTCAGATTAACAAATAAAGGCTTAGTCACCATTCACATCTTTAGGAAAAACCACGTATGGTCAAATCAAGTATGGATGAGCTAGTCCTGAGCCGGCTTTTATTTTCCTTTGCAGATTTCAGACAGTCTGGTAGGTCACATAAAATATCCTCACATTTCTTAAAGTATACTTTGTTCTTTTAATTATAAAATAATGTTATGATTAATTAGAAACAACTTGAAGGTTATGATCTGTATACGCAGGGGACTCAAGAAAACTTATAAGCAGAATGAGTTCAAGATACTGGTGTACTGAGTCGTTTTACCTTTACAAAATCCACTTTGGTGAGGATGTAGTACCATCTGATTATTTCACCTAAGTACTTGCTTTATTAATGTCTTCTGGAACTTCCCATAGCTTGAAGCATCTCTGCATGATGCAGAGCCGTACTACAGAAATTGTTGAAAGAAGTTAATGAACTCATTTACCATTGGCTTTACTTAGCGTTACCATCGAACGGTTTTCACCAAAAATTGAACGGTTTTCACCAAAACCTGGCCTCACTTGACTTCTCAATTGCGGGGTTTATCGCTGGGATGACTGGCCTCCTGTCAGAGGTCAGTACCTCCCGAACGAAGGCCAGTGCTACAAAGGCCAGGCAGCCTGGCCCAGGTGGGGAGAGGCATTAGCCCTCAGCAACCCCCCAACAGTCCTCACCAACGGTCCACAAGGGTCCCCTCCAACAGCTCCCCAACAGCTCCCAGGGGTCTCCTCCAACAGCTCCTCAACGGCTGCCACTGGTGGACAGGGGCCTTCCCATCCCATCCACCCTACTCCCAGCCGGAGGTAAGGGCCAGGCCAGCAGCCAGAACTTTCTGCACTTTTTCAGTGCAGAAAGAAAGCTTGAAAGATCAGTGCTTAAATGCAGGAATATTAAAGCAGTCATCTGTAATGGAAAACTTAGGGCTTCTCTTTAGCTGTGGCTTAGCTTAGGTTAACTTTCCACTTTTCCTGAATTTAGAGGAGGAGTCTGGTACGATGAGGGGGGTGGAAGCAAGTTGACCGTGCCTGTTAAAGCCGCTGAACTCTTCAGGATAGTAAGAAAGCAAAACTGACCTTGAAGAGTATAAGATTTTGTGATACAACAGGCAATAACATAAATTACCAGCTGACAGTTAATGGACCAGTATAACTTCTGATTCAAGGATTGTCTGAGGGCAAGTTGTTGGCAGCATCGCTCTATGAATATCCTGGTGCTTGTGGGCTGCCTTTGAGTTTGGCTCACTGCTCCTTCGTAGAAAAAACCAAGCAGTTAAGAAAGGTGTGTGTTTTATTTCTTGAAAGTATATCATACATTAACTGTTAGAAGTCATTAAGTCGTTACCAACAAAAATTAGATACAAGTTAAACAAACATCTTACAACTGCTGAGGGAAACAGTAACACTGATGTGTCTTGGGTATCTTGTCCTTTATTACAGCACCAAACTTTCAGGTTTCCATTTACACATGCCAAAGTATTGACCTGCATGGATACTAAGATATTTACAATACAGGTAGAGGCTCTAACAAATCATACATTTTTCAAGCAAATACGCATTTTATTGTTTCCTCAACATTTTTTGCTGGTGATTGAAAAGATCAAGTATTCTGATTTACTTGTCAGCTGGGTTTGATTGACCGTTGGCTGGGTTTCAAGTCCTTACATTATTTGATCAGCTGAGTCCTTAAAAAAATTATGGATTATTTTTATACTTTGACTAATAAATTTTGATCCTTGTGCCAAAACAAAAGGTAGTTTTAAGAAGTTAATGAAATGAGTGGGTCATAGTCATCCCCTCTGTTTTCCCCAATGCTGTTAAACCTCAAGCTTTATGCAGTGAGCTTGCATAGTTCTGCAGATGTTGATCTGTGGTTATCTATTTTGATCTAAATTTGGGTTTATACATATATATTTGCAGTTCATAAGTAACTATTGCAAATCAGGTTCTGGAGATAGAGACACTGATTAGAGTTCATAATATTTAATAGTTCTACCTCGTTACGTACTATCACGTCTGAGCTTTGATGTTGAGGTGATTCTGAAGCGTGTGAGGGAATGGAAAGCTAACTGGGAAAATAAACAAATGCGATATCTAAGTGAGACTTGCAATTCAAGAACGAAGACCTCTGCTCTGTCCTGGTTTTGAATGCTTTTTTTACTTTGTATTAATATCTTCCTGGTTAGAAAGTGCAATGGTCTTTTTGATGTGGATTTTTTAGATACTATTTTTGGCTGGGCTCAGGATTTAAAAAAATCCTCAAAATATCTTTTTAGATTCTTTTATACTTTCCATGTATACTGTATATGGGATATGACTCAAAAGAGTTGTGATTAATGGGGCAAAATCCAGTTGGCAGCTGGTCACCAGTGGTGTCCCTCAGGACTCAGTTTTGGGGCCAGTCTTGTTTAATCTTTATTGATGATCTAGATAAGGGGATTGAGTGCACCCTCAGTAAGTTCGCAGATGACACCAAACTAGGTGGGAGTGTTGATCTGCTTGAGGGTCGGAAGGCTCCACAGAGGGATCTGGACAGACTGGATCAATGGGCCAAGGCCAATGGGATGAGGTTTAATAAGGCCACCAAGCTGTTGAGGGGTCTAGAGAACAAGTTGTATGAGGAGAGGCTGAGGGAACTGGGCATGTTTAGTTTGGAGAAGAGGAGGCTGAGGGGAGACCTCATTGCCCTCTACCTGAAACAACAACTACCTGAAAGGAGATTGTAGAGAGGTGGGTGTTGGCCTCTTCTCCCAAGTGAATAATGACAGGACCAGAGGAAATGGTCTAAAGTTTGCAGCAGGGGACGTTTAGATTAGATTTAGGAAGATTTACTTTTACTGAGAGGGTGGTCAGGCACTGGAACAGCCTGCCCAGGGAGGTGGTGGAGTCACCATCCCTGGAGGGATTTAAGAAATGTGTAGACATGGCTCTTCAGGGCATGCTCTAGTGCCCAAGATTATTGGTTTGTAGGTGGGTGTGATATGGTGGGGCGTTGGCTATGTTGTTGGGGATTTTTTTTGGTTTTGGTTGTTTTTTTGTGGTTGGAATCGATCTCAGAGGTTCCTTCCAACCATGATGATTCTATGATTCTGTGAAAAAATTCAGGAATTGTTTTTTTTTTTTTCTTGCAGACGTCCTTCTAAAAATGTACATTCTTCTTTTATCTAAATTGTGATTAATGCAGTAATTGTGTTTGCTTTTATAGTTCTACCTTATTCATTTCTCAAAGCAAATAAATGTTTAATTTGCCACTTAGTGAACAATTAGCTGTTTTTAATTTGTCAACTGTGTGAAATTTCAGTTCCAACACTGCAGAGGCAGATATGCAAACACCACCTGATTTCTAATAAGGCACGCAGATCTGCTAAAGTATGAAGTTCATGCTGAGGGCATAGTGGGGAGACAGTCGTTGCTGCAGATCTAATTCAGTAGTTATTTTCTTACTGTTAGGATGAAGAATACCTGCCCCAGATGGATGAGCGAAACAAAGCACTGAAAGAAAAATTAATATCTCGTCTCAGGTTTGAACCAGAGAGAACAGAGGTGTTGCTTACGGTAAAAGGCAGGGATATTGCCTGTGACCCGGCTGATAGTAGTGAAAAAGACAACAGTGAACTGGTGAGAATATGCATGATTTTAAACTAGACTATGTGTTAATATTTTAATTGCAGTTAATATCCTCCTAGCTATAGTTCTATTATAGTAAAAGCCTGAGTATAGTAAGAGCCTGAACAGTTTACTGTTACAATTATATATTGTCTTAAACGAGAGTTAAATACAAAAACACGTTTCTGAACCTTTTCTAAATCTGGGTGCCCAAAATTAGACCTTTGAAAATTCTGGTCAGTCACTGCTGATGCTGGAGCAAGAGTTAGCTTGTGCACTCCTAAATTAAAGCCAGCACTGTTCCATATGCGCTTCTGGACCCAACTCTGGGCCTGGGCAGCTGCGACTGCTGAAAGCGTAGCCTTGCTGAACTGCTAGAGGTGTCGTCAGAGTGGTCCAAAACCAAAATATAAATGGATGTAGTAGAATATGGGGGCTTGTAGAGACTCTCTGGAAGTTTGCAACAGTGTTAATAGCAAAGTAGTTTTTGCACAGCTCATTTTGTTTGTCAGTGCAGCTTTGGGGATACTGGAATGTTTTGTAAGACTGAAAAAAGTGATGTTAACCTAATCCTTTGGATGGGTAACTTTCCCTGCCTGGAAAAATGTTATATGAATAAATGTGGATTACATGTTTAATGCCTGTGCTGTCATGGGAGTCTTCCTCCTAGGAACCTTGCAAGGGAAACCTCAGAGGCTGCTATTTATCTTAAGGCATTTTCCTGGAGGAAGGAAATATATATAAATTAATCTATTTTCCTTTAGTTAGTGTTTGGCTCGAGTGTCCTGAAAAATAATGATTTGTTGTTCTAAATTTATAATTTCTTTTTCTGAAGATTTGTAACTAGATTTAGGTTGATGGAAACAGGAGAAAGTAATTTTATACTCCATATGAAAATACTAGACATTAATTTCAGTGCTCTGAGCACAGTTATTTTAAAGTCATTTACTAAGATTCTTTTTAATAAGTAAATTCTCATGTACATAAAATGCTGTATATCATAACTCAGAAAACATCTGTAATGAAAGATGAATTAAGCTGTCAATTGTGCTTTCGAAAATGTTTTTCATAGTTGTTAAAAAAGTCTTTGGATTTTTTAGTTTATGATATATGACCACTCACTGAATAATTATTGAAATTAGTGTATTTCTCTGCCTGTTGTTCTCAGTCCTCCTCACTAGAGAAGAAATACTCTAGTCTTCGCACAGCAGTTTACAGAGGAAGAACAGAAAGGAAACACAAAGCAACAATAAAAGAGGAAGGCGTGTGTTTTGGAAATGTGTATGTGAAATCATACTTCTTTATGATGGCTTTTTGTTCTCTGCTACTTAGAATTTGAAATAGCAATGGATGTCTTTTACTGAATTATTTGACTGCTTCCTTGTGAATTCTGTGAAGCTTGGATTGATGCTTTGGCATAAACTTCGTAATTTTTGCCCATTGCAATGGAATCTGATTTAGTTTATGTCACTGAAAATCTGGAAAAATGCTAGTGAAATCATTGCAAACAGAATGCAGTCTAGTCAGTGGGTAATCCAATCTTCTCAATGGATTTTTCACTAATTCATCTCTTGCATCTAAGCTAATATGAGAGGTGTAAACATCTGGAGGATGTGAACGACTTCTCAATTTATGAAAAATTAAGTTTTGTGTAATGGAACCTCAGTTTTCATCAGTCCCAAGCCAGGCAGAACGGTCTCCATCCTAGAGACCAGAAAGTATCTGATCAGTAAGGATCCGCATTCTGGCTTCTATCACAAGCCACACTACATGCTGCTAGTTGTCTAGTTTAATTAGTAGGCGATGCGAGTGAAAGCTGAAAGGAGAAATTTGGACATGGAAATTGAAGATGAAGGTATTTCTGGAGAGTGATTAGGGAACATTAAAGCACAGAAACTGCCAGTCTTCATTAGTTTCAGTGCTCACAGTACAACTTATTTTGTATTTGTGCATTTTGCCCAGATAAAATTTTTGCTGTCTACATCTGTCTCGAGAAAAGCACATTAAGTCATGCTACTCGTATATCAGGGACTGCTAACACAGATTTCTGTTGTATCTTTCACATACTAGATTTGACTTTGCTGGCACTTTATCGTGCTTCAGTCAACAGAAGAATCTTATTGGAGGTTACCATTTGCTACCTGAAGTTTGAACTTATTTTAGAGATTTCCAGATTAGTCTAGAAATCTAAGAATGAGCTTGAAAAAAAAACCCCAACAAATCCTGTATTACAGTATTCTTAATTTTTATGCTTTTTATAGGAAAAAGAATTATTTTATAGGAAAGAATTTAATTTCTAGGAAATAATTTAATTTTGAAAATACAACTTATTACCTTCTTTCTACTTTCATAGTAGATATCATGCTGTTGGAATTATTAAGAATGAGAACAAATTATACCATTGGGTTTTCTAAGCATTATTTTCTTAGTTGTGTTTCCCAGAGCTTAAACTTAGTTTAGTCTTGAAGCTATACCTTTGAGACTAATCAAAATAATGATCAGTTTTTATGTATACTCTTCTGATGCCTATAGTGTCAGAGCACAAGAGTAAGCCTGTAATTTTATTTTGATTTCTTTCACCATCCTCACTGTATATTTTATTCATCGTGAATAAAGCTCTAACTCTGTGCCATAGGACAGCTGTGTCTTAATCATAAATACAAACCATTATACCGATCGTATTTTAGTCAATTGTTCTGTTTTGCCTGTATGACTGAATCTTCAGATTTTTACCCTAATAGAGTATATTGTTCAATTTTAGGCTCTCAAGAATACATAAGGAGGGAAGAGAAGAATCTGGTTTTCAACCTTCTAGCGTGTCAGAGCAAGAGACAGTGAAGCTAAAAAGGAGCATAACAAAACCTGTGTCCTTAACATCAGCGAATGAGAATTTGAAAAAGACACTGCCCACAGCTTCTGCTTGCAAAGGAGTTCAGCATGATTTTGACATGTCGCCGCCTTCTCCTGTATACGGTAAAGTACCTAAAATGACAGAATGTGGAGTAATAGAAGATACTATTTTCTTTCCTCATCATTGTAAAAATTCTTTTCCAAGTATTTGTAAATATACAGTGTCCTCAAGTGCATTTCTAACAAAGAATACTGTAAGTCACAAGCATTCCAGTTTTTACTTTAAGCATGGACTGAACATTTATTTTCTGTGTTTCTACTGAAAATAGCAGTCTTACGGGACTTCTGATATTTGGTGAGATATAATACTGCAGTGGGCAGCCATAGTACGAACATACACTCTGTTCTTCTCTCTAAAGCAAATGCTCTTCTTTCTCTGGGCATTGCAGGGATGCCAACAACACTTTCTGTGTAGGTGGTGAAGACTTCTGCAAAACTTGACATCTTTTTAAAAACAAAAAGAAAAAATGGAATAGTGGAGATAAAAACAGTGACTTTAACTCTGTATACCAACAGCAAGGTGCATAGGAGTATGTGTTTATTTGTCGTTTTAAAAAGTTGTAGTTATACATACTTCTTTTCTGTATAGATTTACCTATTCAAAGTTTCTTTAAGTGAGAATGCCGTCTAGTGGGTCTTGAATATACTTACTCCACCAGATGTTGATGAAAACTAAATATACAATTGTCTTTCCTATTGTCCTCCCATCAACTTGGGTTTTTTGGAAGCATGGCCATCTCTAAAATACAAAAATCTTAATTCATGGAAGTTGTACATATGGTGAAATGAAACTCCTCACAAAGACTTGGTGGTCTTGTGATCACAATTCTTCCTCTTTGAAAGTCATTGCAAGTTTCATACTGACTTCAACAGGTCAAAATTCAAGCAAATCTGCAAGCTGGAGTTCAGTTATATCGGTAATTTTGGGACTATGCTTTGCGTGAAACTTGCAGAAAAAGTTTTTTGAATCAATCGTATCCTGTAAGTCTTCAGCACATCAGGTGTCAAATTAGGAAACTTTGCCTTGTTAAACAAGGCATTGAAGGGTAGAGTTGTGCTGTAACAGTAAACAAGTATTACATTTCTTACCCAACCAGACCGAAGTAACCGATGTCGAGTGGTGATCTGAATACAAGTTTTAATGTGTTATCTACAAAAAGAAACAGCTTCTTGTGTGTGTGTGTATGTCTCTCTCTATGCAAGTATTAAAACCATCAGAATGCATTTGGGGAAGTAGACACAGAAATGTAAACTTGTAGGAAGGTTAACTTAAATTAGGAAAAAATTGTGCATCATGATCTGCTTTAAATTACTAATATTTTCCTTTTTAATTTGTCAGTTGCAGATGATGTTAGCAAGATTGAAATGCAAAAAGCTATTTTGGAACCAAGTAGCCACAAAAAGACTTGTGAGCAACCAAAAGTTGAAAGATCTTCTAAAAAGTCTTTGAGAGGCAAAGTTCGTACTTATGATAAAACAAGTATGTAAGTTTTAGCATTGGGGTGCAGACTATACTGTTAGGCCTGTACAACCAATGTATTTACTTCAGATTCATATTGGTATCATGCAGAATATATTCAACTGCTACTGTCTTTCCTCATCCCTCTCCTGCCTTTAAGAGCAGACGTGTAGGGGAAGAGCCGATGAAGCTGTAAATGAGAGTGCTGTCATTTTAAACCTTATTTCAAAGGCCAACAACTTTAACCTCTGCATTCACCTGATTTATTTTTTTTTATATACCTGATCTCAGAGCAGAATTTCAGACAGCATTTGATTTTTTTATTTTAATGTTGTGTATGTTTTATGGTTAGCTACAGTAAATTTTCTTTTCATTGGAAGATTTGTAAGGAGTAGTCATGTTTTCCTATGTATCTTCCAGGATCAGTGTCAGGAAAAATAGATTTTGATCATTATTTCTCCATTAAAAATGGCTGTCACTGAGACTGAAAACTGGGAGGGAATGATACCACAACTGGATTCCAATTATTTTTTTCTTTTTTGCAAACTTTTTTTCTCTGTACAATTTTAATAGGGGTTAAAAAGCATGGGAAAAAATATTTTTTTAAGCTTTTTGGGACTTCTCAATTTATTTTCCATAATGTTATAGAATCTTTTGTTCAACTGGAGTGTTCTTCCCCTATGCAGGGCTAGGTTGGTCTGATTTCTAAAGGGGTAATATGTTTCCATGTAAAAATGAATGTCTTTTAAATAGTAGAAATAAAAGTTTTATTGTTATTCTTTCATTTTTAACAGTCTTTTTGTTTAGCTGAGATTTTGCTCTGCCTTCAGAAGTCTTTTCTCATTCTTTCAGTTTTTTTAGCATTTGAGAAGGTCTTTGGCCTGTAAATCATATTTTTTCTACTGAGTACTTTGAATTTTGCTGTGTAAATTACACCAAAGATCAGTGTAAAATCACTGGAAATTGATATTACTTTGAAGTCACTTGAACCACGGTTCTTCAATTGCAGGAAAAACCAACATTTGGAATATCTGATGGCTTTTATATTTTTTGAGAAGGACTTTCTGAGACGTGTTTTCAGAGTCTTCCAGCTCGGTCTAAATAACATTAGACCAATCTTCCAAACTTGTTAAGGCTTATGCAATGAAGCTAAAGAGTGAATGGCTGGCTCTCTTTTGTAGTGAATCTAACGGTTTTATGTTTAAGGGAAAAAAGCCAACACTGGTTTTGTTTCTTTTCTCAATGTACCAGAACCAATTGATGATGATGTTATAACGCATATTTTGAGGCTTCGAGGCAAACTTGGCTGGCAAACAACGTTACCATCGTGTGAACAATTAGCTGGAGAGACTGATGTGTCCCGACTGCAGGAGTTCACGCTTACGGTGAATTTTTCTTTCCCTTCTCCACATCCTGTGCAATTACATTCTAGAAATTCTGTTATTATCTAAAATACTTATTTCCTGGAAGGTTTTCCCCTGAAAAAAGATATCACTAATACTTACAATCTTTACCTGTATAGGTGTTTGCTACTAAAGAGCCTTACAGTGGTATTTTTAATCTTAATAATGCTTACCACTGTTCTCATAGATGGAGAACTGGAACTACTAAAAAGTTTGTTCATGTTTGGATAAAAAAGTTGTAGTAACATTAATAGGGTTGTATGGGACTGTTTTCTTAACAAGAACTAGTGATATTTAACTAGCTGTTAGTGGAACTAAAAAATAATTATTTAGATTGGAAATAAAAGAAAAATGCGATGATAACAGAGTAATTTATTAGTCAATTCAGCATTGCTACTAAGCTTCTTATCAGAATATTTGGGTATTTTTTTGACTTTTCTTCTCATAGTCAAATATATAGATATGTAGCTTGTAATCATGAAAAATAAATTATATAGATATCATGTAAATAATTTCCTCTTTTGACAGAGACCATTATTGCTAAAAGATACTGGGGAATATATATATTGTCTTCAACGAAACAGAAACAACTTTAAAGTTCCCTACAACCCCTACGATTTACAGGCTGTCTCTACAAACACAGCTATGCAAAACGAAGTGTATTGGACGGTTACAGCTTCATTTGTGTCTAAGGTAGTATTGTACAGCACACAGAGCAACAGAAACCCAGAGATTTCCTCAGAAAGAATGTTTTTATTTATTATCATGTTGCATTCCCATTGCAATTATGTTACCGACTTTGCTTAAGACCTTGCTCGTCCCTCCTAAAGACGAGTCCTCTCTTGGCTTTGTTTAACTGGATGCTAAAAAACAGAAGAGCAAAGTTTATTCTCTAACTCAGAATGAGATTCTGTGACCAGTTTAAGTCTGTGTAACACTGACAAGAGCGTGGCTTTTAAGCCACCCTCTCCATTGCACTGGTACTGGTGATTTCATGGCCAGTATCGTGGATCGTCTTACTAATTTGGCTGAAAATGAATGCAAATAATTTATGTGTGTGTTTATCTGCTTGCCAGGTTAATTTTGTCAGATTATAGAGTGAATCCATCTCACCAGGAGCACAGAGTATTGATATTCCTTAAAGAGCCACTAAAAATAGTACCTTTTAAGAATACATACCACATTGCATGATATTTCATCGGTTCTTAAATGTCTTTGAAGCCAACTCAACTTTGAAGCCCTTTTTCTCTTTAACATCAGTGAAGTTTAGAACTAGTATGACACTAACCTTGCGTTGGAAGAAGTGATAATTGCATAATTTACATAATTGGATTGTTGCTGGATGCTAAAGTTAAACTTTTTGTTGTATGTATGAGATACGTGATTTGAATGTCGGAAAATTACAGACATGGCTTAGGAACTGGTGCAATTACTGTTGTTAAGATGGGGAAGATGTTTTTGCTATGAGTGGAGGTACCAAGCTTTTATAAAACCAGACTGGAAGGGAAAAAAAAAAAAGTGTTAGGACCCTGACTGGGAAAAAAAGACTGTTACTTTGTTCCTTTGCCTTTAGAAATCTTGCTGTAGTACAGAAATTTGAAGTATAACCTTGATTTAAATACAAAGTGATGTGTTCCAAAATGTCTGTAATAAAAAATTTACTACTTACTTTGACTAAACCACAGAATTATTAATTCAAAACAATTAATTAGTGCTTAGTAGCCATTCTTCTATCTCTTATACTCCCATGAAAGATAATGAAGATTTCTACTGTTGCCACTTCACTGGATTCTTGTCACTCAGACTCCAGTCCATAATTTGAAAAGAAAATATGTGAATTTACAATTCACCATTTTTTATATCCTTTCACACAGCTGTGAACATTCTCTATGGAGAATGAAAATCTATTTGCTTACCCTGCTGTTGATGCGGTTATAAGGTGCTGTTTGCCTACATGAAATATAAGGCAGAGGTTTGAGAAAAGGGCTTTTGGAGTTTGCCAGGCGTTGTGGTGAGCACCGTCTGGGGGGTATATCTGCCCACCTTGTGTTGGAAATCTTTGCATAAGTCATTCTCTTTTCCAGTATTGTATCTTGTAGTGATGGGAAAAATTTATATTCCATAGTTTTACTTGCTAACAGTGAATAAGTGCATTCAGATTTCTCCTTCTTACATACTCTGTGTGAGATAAACCACTTTTTTTTAAACAAGGAGAGTCAGTGGGCCTACATAAATAGATTTTCAAATGTGCTGAGGGGCTTTCCTAACTATCAGAAGACTTGAATATCTGCCAGAAGTAGTGTGTATGTGCCATAATGACATATTTTAATGCTAGAAACATCTTAATATTTAAAATACTAAAAACATGTAGAAACTATAAGCATGTTCAAAATAAAACAAAAACTATATTGATAGACAAAATGTGATTAATTTAGCCACCACTGAGGTCATCAATATTCATGCTTTTTGTCTTTGATAATGAAAATTCAAATTCTTTTTGAAAGGGACTTATGTATTTTTTCTTAATGTTTTTCCTAGTTTTCTGCAGACCGTAATTTAGGAGAAATGGAAACGACACCAGTTCCACAGTGGCTGTATGAAAGGCAGATGTATTATAAGTTACTCAGTTTTAATTTATTTTCCAATTTCAGGTAAGGAAATTTTAAAAAAAAAAAACAAACCACCAAAAAACCCCACAATTGACGGTAACTAATTACAGTAATAATTTTCAGTATCTTGCTATGATAAAATGCCAACTTAATACTGTTTTAATTCCTGCATAGGCATTCAAGAATTTAAAGAATTACAATACCTAAAGACAATCTTTTTGGTTCTTATGTCTAAATCATTAAAGGAGCTAAACATCCGCTTCTATCTTTTGTTATTTTTTGTTTTTTTCTTGTGTATTTAATGTAGAAAAAGTGATAATATCTCTAGTAATATCTTCCTGTGTGGTAAATTTTAGGACACAAGTTAATTTCTCCTATTTATTCTCTTTCAAGTAATATAGACTATATGAGATAGCTAGTACTGCTTACATTATATAGAATGTATTAAGGCAAATTATGTAGCATAAAATAGAAGGAAATATTTAGTGGTGAAATTGTCACGTTCTTTGGGCTGGCTGTTTTTGAAACATCAGTAAAAACACGATAGCTGAATTTTAACCTCTTGCTTAGATGTATATTAAATATCCATTTTCTACACATTTGTTTCAACATTTTATTTTTATTACTTTTTTAGGGGAATACCCTTGTTTCTGGTTTAGTTTTGCTTTTCATCTATAGAATATTGCTGGAAGTGATTCAGCTTTGGTACTTGACCCTGTTTCTTGTGTTGGATTTGTTCATGCATGTTTTTTGTGCGTGCATCAGTCACCACAATGAGGCATCCCAAATTTTGCATATTTTTGAAATTGTATTTTATGTTTGCCAGTACTATCTTCCACATGAAAAAATTAATGAAAGTAATCATGATCTTATTTCATTCCATTGCTCCACAAGATTCTGGTAACATTTATTGTTACTGAATATGTGTGGTTTTGTGTCGATTAGAGAATTAAAGATTGCTGTGATGGGAATGTTTAGAAGGCAGGTAAACCATCAGTGAGTTATGGGATCTGGGACGCTTTGCTTCAACCTGTGGCTGTATTTTCAAGGCCTTTACTGTTATCTGGTGCTTAACGTACATCCCAACAAGAAATGTCTCATACCAAGACCCAGTTTACACAGGACGTTCTCAGCAGATGTTGGTAACAAGCCCAGGCTGGGCCTTCGTGCAGTTAACATCAGGCACAGCGGCAATTTTTTACTAGGCACAAAAATTGCTTTTGCAGTTATGGTACGTTAAGGATGCTTGTGTTCAGGTTTAAAACAAGCTAATATTAATGTTTGCTTAGTGTACTTTGTCTTTTGTGGGTACAACAGGCCTCTGCTTTAGCTATACATTTCATACATGCATCGGGTGTAGGGACAATGTTTGGGAGCAGATTTAGAAAGTGGAAATTGGCTAATTGTCCAACAATCTGTCTCCCAACAGCGTTAAGTGCTGCTACTGAGCTGTTGCGACAGCAGGTGTGACAGTCTATAGAATTTACATGCATAAATAATTATTTCTTTCACTTCTAGAATGAAGAAATACTTTCTTGTCTGGAAAATCAATGCTAGAAAAAGCAAGACGCTCAAGACCAAGTCAGTTTGAACGTAGGTTTTTAATGCAAAAAGAATTAAAGAATACTTCATCTCTTTCTGTACAGTCTAGCAATTTGTTTCTTATTTTTCTTAAATACTTTATAAATCAACAAAGACCATTATACAAATACTAGATTACCTGTTGGTAACAGCATGGACGTACTCTCATTTTTATGGTACTTTTGCCTTGCTGAGAAGGAGCCTGGAATTTTAATCTGGAGAAACCTGAGCTTTAATTTTATGTTTGTCTAGTTTTCCAAGCACAGTGGGATTCTGCTTTATGAGTTAGGATTTTCTATATAAATGGGTTGGAAATAATAATACAGTGTTGCAGAGGGATCGCAGCAAATCCAGGTTGAATACGGGCTGAATGAGAAGATGGAATTCAGGCTATATGTTGAGGTGAGTAAATAAAATCCCATCACACTTCATCTATTCTCCTTAAGGATGCCCATTATTGGCATGTAAATAATATTTTTATTGTGTGGGTTTGATGACAACAAAGACTTTGTTAATGCTTCACAAGAGATCGCAGAGTGGATTTTTTTTTCCCCTTTTACGGAAATGTATCCTTTAGTTAAGCTTACAGGTTTTTAATTAACCCTTGTGTTAGGAAGACACTCTTTTCTGGGTTTTATATCAAAATTATTAGTTTTGTGCTGAGAGCATATGGATTCAATCTTTCGCTTGTACCTAGGGGTAAGGAACTGGGAAAGATTGATGGCCTTTTTCTTCCATTTGAGTAGTCAAGTGGGAAAGGCATAAACTGTCAGGTAGTCCTTTGTCCAGTTCTAAAGTTACTGAAATAGGAAAGGTGTTCAAGTAAACAGTGCTTTTAACTGCATAAAATCTTAAAACAGTCATTTATAGAATGTATCATTAAAAATAATATATGATGAGTCAGCTTCTGAAAAAAAAATCATGTTTTCTCTTTGCTTGGCATTAGTCAGAGACAGTCATTAATTCATACATTAACGCTTAACAGATAGATAGCGCTTTCCCTAAAAGCAGATTTTTTGTAGGTGGCAAGTTCATCAAAATTCAGTTGGGGCACTTTAAATGACTGACTATAGAATATTTTTAGTGTGTTTTGTCAAAATCGGATTTGTCTTTTGAAATGTTTTTATGTCCTGAAATCATATGACCTGAAACTGTAACCTTTTCATAAACTAGAAAGCAGTCCTGATGCTCTCCACACTTCAGCATTTGAATAAATTTGTGAGCGAGTTGTTGTTCCTGTAAACAAAGGTGGTGAAAGAGAGTGTAGTCCTTATACAGTCTATAAATCTGTTTTGTTGAGTTTCTGTGTTTGGGTTTATTCCTCAGTATGTTGCTGCCCACATAAAGTTATTGGACCTTCATGTAGGTGGATTAGTGCAGGACACTTTTTCAGAAGGAAGTTGTTGACTACGCAGCCTGTTCCTCCAACTAATTGCTCCTAAAATGATTTAGATCCCTATGCATTAAGAAAAACAATTGAAAAGTTATTTTGTCAGACTTTTTCAAATTCTTCATATTTCTTAAATGCCATGTTGAGGCAAAGCTCTTTAAAATTTATTCATGCAATAAACAAGTTTGGTTAAGCTACTCCTTAAAGTCATTAAATTATATATATTTTATATCCTTATATATTTTACCCCTTTAAAAGAACCAGATAAAAGAAGAAATACAAGTTTTTTACAATTTTTTTTCTCCTCTCCGTTTACTCCTGCATTATATCCCCAGTTTCCTAACAACTTCAGGGCAGTTAGTTTGGTCATTCCAATTGACAAACACGTTGGATTTTTCTATGTCACTTCTTTTCTGGGTGTAACATTTCTGGAATATCAACAGTTATTAAACAGATGTACAGTTTTTCTGCCTCCTCCACTTTCATCTTTGTTCTTTAGGACTTATTTAGAAATTTCTCTGTCTCAAGCATAACATCCTCAGTCATTTGGAATTTTGAAACTGGGCTTTGTTTTTGGGGGTGGGTTGTTTTAGATGTGTGAATTAGATACGTGCTATCCCTAATATACTGCTCACTATGAAACTCTGCAGAGCGTTTTTAAATTAATTTAGTCAATTAGCCAATTTTAAATTAATTTAGTCAATAAATTAGTGTAAGCCTTTGTGTAAACACACTGGTCACATGCTATAGCTTCAGCAGGGAACCTGTATGCAACCCACATCAACTATTTTTATTTTATAGTGAAGGAACTGGGAAGTGAATGAAGAAGACCCGCTTTTTACATTGTTTGCTGAAGATGCAGGGACATTCACAGAACAACCGCTCTCCTGAAGACCAAAATGTGAATTTTACATACAGAAGATGCACAAAAATAGAATAGAAGAGTATGTAGAAGAGGAGATACTTACTGTACAGTAACTGCAACTCCTTGAGAACGTGCCTCAAGACGTAATGCTGAAGTTTTTGCTGTGTGAACCTTCTCCATCTGGCTTGAGTAGCTCTATGGGAACCTGCCATGATTGTTTACTACGAAGAATGCAATGGAGAAGGGTGAGTGTCTAAAGCAGTAACCAGATTGGGGACCTCTTGTGGGAATAGACCTATGCTACCAAAACAGTGCACGTGTCACAAGGTTAAAAAATGGGGCTTAAGCAGTAATGGTAGCTTAACTGTAGAAGAATAATTTCAGAAATTCTATATTTAAGCCCCAGAAGTGTGTGCACTGCTATATAAAATGAAGCAATATCTGTCCTGAAAAGTTAACATTATAATAACAAAACATTGAGGGAGAATGTTAAGAGGGAAGTAATACTAAGTGTTGATAACATAAATAAAAATTTTTAGGCAGGCTTTGAAATGGTTGAAAATGATTGTGCAGAATAACAAGTTGAACAAATGTAAGAAAAAACAATTTTGTGCTCTTTGCAGCAGTTTGCCTTTCTGATAACGCTGTTTCTCAGAGCTGTGGTAATTTAGACTGTGTTTAAGTAATTGCTTGAAATTGAGTTGCTTATTCTATCTCACCTCGCATATAACTGTGCATGCTTCGGGACCATCGCAACTGCAAGCAGGATGTGTCCATCTCAAATCAATAACTCCATATATTCTTAGCTGCGCTTCCTTGACATCACACACCGGGCTCAGTGAACAACTACTAACAAGTTCAGATTTTAGTATCTTTTCAGTAGGATCCAATGTACCTTAATAACCAAATTAGGTTTAACTTTGCTTTATTCATTTACTACTAGTATCAATATTCTCTACTTAAATTTTTGGTAATAATTTAATGTGTATTAACATTTATTAACATATAAATGCCATGAATTAGAGGCATTTCTTTTCTCTGATGTCTTTTTTTGATATTTTTTTCCTAAAGGGGAGATAAGTTTGGGTGTTGTAGTTTTTTTAGAAATATTTCTATCAGATCCCAGAGTAGACAGTCATCAATTAATTAATTTATGCCATCTTAATTAATATTGGCGATCTGTTTTCAGGCTTCTGTTGACAGAGAACTACTTTGGTCCTACAGGTAGAGGGAAGACTACAAATGGAGATTTTAAGAAAAGCTTTGGTACTTCTGTGTACTGCAGATTTTGAAAAAAAATAACCAGATGTTGAGCCTTCTTTGCACGTAAGTTTTTCAGAATGTTTGCTGCTTATAGTTTAAAGAGGATGACTTTATAGAAAAAAAAAAAATTCGTAGTTCATGCAGAATTATGAAACAAACTTTTAAAAGATTATAAATAAACAGGTATTTATTTATTTTTTCACTAAAACAATGCTAGAAATACCACATTGGCATCTCTTTATAGTAGCCCCTGAGGTGAGGGAAAATACTTCTGGCAACAATATTAAAAGTAAGACATTCAGAAAAGTTTAACTTTGCAGCGTATTCTTCTAAATGACATGTCCGTATTCTGAATTGTACAGAGGGCGTTTAACAGCAATAGGGGTAACTGGCCCCGAGCATAACCCTGGTGTCCATTCGAGTTGCAGGTGCCTCTGTGCTGGTTGAGCAAAGCCCCTTTGATGGAGTCTCTGGAGCGGAGCTGGGGAGCTCCAGCAGCGCTGTCCCTACCCCAGAGCACAGCGGAGAGAAGGCTCGCTCCAAACTCGGACTGTCCAGCAGCAAAGCAGGTAACGGAGCTCTTGGCACCAAACCATCCATCTGTTGGTCCTTCCTTTCTAGCGGGAGGTTGTCTGCTGAAAATAGCATCCCTTCTCCAGAAGAGGATGATTTCAGGATTTTTTGCAACCATAATGCTGTAAACTGTGCAGGAAATTTGACAGGCTGCTGTGAAATACTGCAGCTCTGTGCCAAAAGACTGGCTGGCAGGTATTAGATTTCTGTGACAATTATAGATTTTCCTTTCCCCTCACCTTGGTGAGTAATCACAGCAAAGGAAAGGTCAAAGTCACCTGAGAACGACTCAGGCAACCAAATAGACTTTTGGTTTCTTAAGCTGAACTTAAATTTGCAAGTTTTCAAAAGCTTTTTGTCAGATCTGAATTTAATGTCATGACATTTTGAGGTGATATCACTGAGCTCCAGAGACAGCTCTCCTGGCTTCTCTTCAGGCTGTGACAGACACTGATGCAAGTCTCTTGTGTGTTGGAGGTAACAACTCCTACCTGGCAAGTCTGGCTCGCTCTCACAGGAGTCTTGAAAAACTTGTCCCTTCAGAAGGTCTGAATTCTTTCAATGACAAAACGAATCAAATGATCCTGTTTATGTAAGTAATTGCAGCCAATTACAGAGCTGCCATAATACGTTAGTATTATTAGGAAATTGCAAGAAAATCTTTTTTGTCAAATTGCAGGTTTTACAACCAGATCACATTCTTCTGTGTTACCATTCATGTTTTCTGCTCTGATCTCTCTCAGAACTGAAAATATTTCCAGCTCTCCATCACATTGCTCAGTTTGTTTTGCAGTTTCCAGCCACGTATCTCCAGATCTGGGGCTTGGAGTTGGTGATCTTTAAAAATCCCTTCCAACCCAAACTGTTCTGTGATTCTACGATTAGATTGAGGATGGTTCCATTTTTCTTATGGTACATTTCTGAGGAGTTTTTTTTTCTAATCCAGTCTGCCAGTGGGACTTCAGTCTTACAGAAAATGGGGTTTATTTTTTAATAGGAAACTCCTTTATACTCATGGCAAAACATTCCCTTCTTCATTTATCTTTCTAATAGCAACTTGTTTGCAAGAGAAAGGAAAAAAATCAAAGTTCTGATAGCTGATTTTCATTATACTGTTGTTTTTTTTTTAAGGATGAAGTAACTCTCAGGACACTTCCAAGCACCTTGCCTGTGTTCATCTTCCAAGTAAGTCACCAAATTAATTTGCCTGTGATTTCTCCCAAACCCGTATGAATCCACAGCAGGAGCTTCCTGTCATATTCCAAGTATTAGTTGTGCTTTATCTTTTTATACCAACAGGACAAAACCCTTTAAAGCCATTCCTTATCTTTTAGTGTCAGATGCTGAAAAGTCCTGAGATTTACATATTTCATTAAAGAGAATTTCTCCCTGGCATAACTGACTTGGGCAAAGATGTTACGAGACTATTCAAAGGGAATCCTTTGCACCAGTCAGGGCTCATTCGGTGAGAGCTCAGGCAAAAATGGCTTTTTTTTTTTCTTTTTTCATAGAGTGTTCCTGCAGATGGAAACTGCAAAGCAGCCATTGGAAACTCCACTTAATTCTGTATTTGTAATAAGCTCCCACTGAGCTTTCACAAGCCAAACCTGAACTCTCAGGACTATAATTTTACCCGTTGCTCTGGTGCCTCCCTCACGCTGCCTGGAGGTTGACTCAGTGTTACTGCAGGACACCTCCTCACGGAGCAGCTGGGAATAAGCCAGGAGCTGGGAATAAGCCAAATTAGGTGTGGAGTAGAAAGACATTGATGAGAAGAGGCAGATTGGGAGAATCAAGCAGGTAAAATATTTTAGCATCTATTTCACATGTTCTCTGCCAGTTGCTATTTTAATCCATTATTACTTAAAAGCTGCTTCTGTTGATTCGATTCTTTTTATCCTATTTTCTCATTTTCTCACTTAGCATTTCACTTAGAAGAAGCTGTGAAAATTAGGTATTTCTGCAATAGCAGATACAGCCACAACACATTACTAATTTGATGGAAGAAATTTTAGGCAAACGTATTCATGGAGGAGCTTATGTATCCCTAATATTCTGTAACACCTCAAAATAGAAACGTACAATGGAGAGACCCGACGCGGTCTTAAACACAGCGCTGAAAGTGTTAAACTATTGTCATTCAGTAAGTCATCGTGTCTACTGGGCCATTGCTCTTTCAGTGTTAGTGCTGACTTACCACAATGGCATGAAGAAATACTTATTTTTGTTTCATTTAGTTCCACTTTCTAAATGGCATAAAAAATACCAGGTACACTTCATAAAACAATGATTATCATGGAATAGATTGCATTTTTATATTACCTTTCCTTTTTTATAATTATAGCTCCGTATACAGACATATGGTATCAGAAATATTAATGAATGTAATTAAGAGTATGGATTTTACATATATATATATATATATATATAAGCTATTGGAGTCATGTAGTTGAATGGGGAGTCTTTGCATTACTGTTGTATCCAGCTGGCAGTTTCTATTGGCTTTTCTATTAGTAGCTCTAGTACAGGTATTTTTAAAGCTGTGTTGCCAAAGGAAATCATTTGAATTTTTATGTGGCTTTGAGCTCAGCTTTTTTTCCCCTTTTTCTGCTCATTAATTTCTGCTTCTATTCCTAAGGATCTACCAGGTATGACAGTACTTTTCCCAGGAATTCTCTTAATCTGATTTTTATGCTTTAGATGGATTCCTTCTGGTCAGTCCGGCTGAGTTAACCTGGCAACACCCGGCTCCACGAGGGAATATGAGCATCATAAGGAGGAGTCCTGGGCAGCTGGTCCTGGGAAGAGCGGACAAGCTCGTGTGGGTGCAGCTCCGGCCTCAGGGACCCTGAAACAGGTTGGTGACACGAATATTTGGTCTCGCAGTGAACAAGGCATTGCACAAGTATCAGTGTAAGTGTCGGCGTGTGCTTCCACTGATGAGTATCTGCTCAGGTGTGTTCCTCACCCTTGGGATTGCTGTTACACGTTTCCTCCTGAACATCTGCAGAGACATTTCTCAGGGCTGTTGCGTGCACCGACTGAAATTCTCTTGGCATCCGCAGCTTCCACAAGGGTTACTTTACAAGGGCAATATTACCAGGTTAAAATTCCCCATTTTCAATGGCAAGTCACCTCCATTTACGTTTCACACAGGTCCCCGGGATGGCCTTATGATCCAGCTGCTGTTCTTTAAGGTGTTACTGCTCCAGGTTTGTTTTCTTCAGCCGAGGCAGGAACCGAAGAACACATGGCCTCACTGAGCCCTTACCTTCTCACAACCCTTTACGCAGAGGACACGCAGAGAAGCAAACTGGGAAAAATGTGATCTTTCAACAGGAAGGCGGGCTGTTCACTACCGTGAACGTGCGGAGCTACACTGTGAAGTAACAAGCACCAACCAGGCACCTGCTCCACCAAGTGCACGTCGTCTGAAATGCAGCGCTGTGAGACAGGAGGAGGTTTTGCCGCAGCCTGTCTGCCTGTCACCCCAACAGACGGCAGGAGAACAAACCACGTCAAGGTGGGAAAGGAAAATTGCTTGAACCATTTGGCTACTGTGGCACTGGACCATCTTCTGAGGAGACGGAGGGATGGGAAGGTAAGATGATGCGAACGCGACACCATCACACACAGACACACACACATAAAAGAGCTGCAGTTTGGCCACTTCAGCCTCTTCTTCAAAAGGTTTCCCCCAATCCTGTGATGGGGCATGAAAAAAAGGTAGAACTGATGATTTAAAAGAACTTATCAAAAAAACCCACAGAATCAAACCAAAACTAAATCCAGTGCTCAGCTTTTCTGAAATACTAAAAACATAAAAGCACAATTAAAGTATTTTAGGGAACTTCCCCACCAGAAAAGACTGTTGAAGTTTGGGGTTTATCTACAGCCAGTGCACAATGGTCTCCATCCACACGTGGGAGGGGTTTTACACCCACTCCATAAACACCTTTCACTCCACGAGAGGAAGAACTATGCTTCTGATACATACAGAACAGCTCATTAAAACTTGTAACTTAAGCAAACATTTTTATTACCTGTGGTAAGTAATTTTCTGTAGGCACAATGGCAGTCACTGTTCCTGTAGCCACGTGTCCTGTCGCCACAGGGGTCCTGTTCACGGTAGGTGAAAATAGCACAACATTTCTGTCCTGTGCAGTACCCCTGCAGCTGTAGTGGGGTTTTGACTTCTAATAGAAGCTGCAGGGAAAAATACAAGATAATACAGGCCAAACAAGTGTTAATTCTGGACTAACAGCAGGGAGGAACAAAAAGAGGTAACACGTGAGCCTCCCCTGCTTCACTGGACTCTGTGAAGACGCAGGTGGGTGAGCAATGGAGCTGACAGACAGACAATTCTAAGAACACACGTGGGTCTGTGAACTTGTGTGTAAAGAGAATAGGGAGAGACATCCTTTCCTTAAAATTCCCAGACAGACCAAGAGAAGCACCAGACACGACCTTGTAACGCTCAACCCACCACCACCGATACAAAAGGAACTCCAGTAGAGTCACATCTTCACTTAATAAGATAAATCAGTGCCGTTTTTTTTCAGATAGATACAACCATGAATGGGGAAAGGAAAAAAAACCAAACAAGCCACTACTTAATTTTCAGCAAAAGCTTTATTTTTGTTTATAGGCTTGTTTGTATTAAAAACAATTACTTCAAAAATCAAATTCACATAAAACTCAGCATGTAAATAAACTGAAGTTATTGGTCAAGACCCATTCCTGAAAGACAAGGGCTGCAGATGACATTTTAACAGCCTCGTGTGGCAACAGATAAAACTGGGACGGCGGCAGCATCTCCTGCTTTACAGGCCAAGGAGTTAAACTGTCCCTCCCCAACCCCCCCCTTTAGTACAGCCACAAACTGGTTCAGTGAAATGGTTGCTCTATTTCCCACTAATCCATTGGAAAAAAAAAGGTATCCCAGTTTGATCCGGTGCTTCACAGGCACCGCCATTTCCTTCCAGGAATCAAAGGACTTGTCTGAAAACCTTTTTTCCTTACACCACTAACACACAGCCACAATCAAGCTACATTATATACATTTCAAATGTACAATTCTCTTTAAAAAAATGCCTGTGTACAAAATAAAGGGTTCTTTTCTTTAAAAAAATGCCATGCTAAATTTCAATTACATCAACATTTTTAAAGAATCAAAATAAATTGATGAATAACAGCAACATTCTGATTGATTAGGAACCTTCCCGCAAGCAAATGTAGAGGTACCCGCACTATATTTAAAAGTCTAATAAGCTTTTTTTTGGACCATTTGTGCCATAAACCTCATGTATGAAGTATGCAAAAAGTTGTGATGACAGTAGAAAAGCTAGTTAATTAATGCAAGATTATTTCGGTAAAATATAAAATTATTCTACTTACGAAGCCAGTACTGCAAAGGCATCTGATTTACAGCCAGTCAGACAAAGAACACAATTAGCGACTACAAGACATACCTCAGTTAAAAAGTCAATTATATACAAAAATATATTAGAAAGTGGTCGAGTTTAACCACAGGCTCATGTAAAAAAATGTTGTTTTAAATAGCAATAGCAAAAAAATAGCTGTTTTCTCTATCTGCAACAGTACAAAAGGCAAAACCTACATATGAGGTAGCAATGCCAAATTAAAAAAACGACTTTGGATTGAGGAGCATTTCCTATATTTTCATAGCACATCTGTCAATACAAATATTTAAATGAACACTTCAATTATTTCAAGAATTAATACATTAATTTACAAAAACCTTTATTCAATTAACATTTTAAAAAAGAATTCCTGGAAATGGACTTAGTTACTGATTTCTCCTGTTTCTAAAAAAAGCTATCGCATTTTCCAATCCCAACACTGTACAGCAAAAAGGTGGCGGCTTTATTATACACACCGGGTAAAGGCTATGGTACATTAAGACATAATTTACAACCATCAGAATAAGCCAACTGTGGTCGGTTTTATTCCTTTCTATCAAACCTGCCCACCCTGCGCCTTTGGCTGCCCCCATTGAAGGCTCGGGGCAGGATCAGGGTTCGCTGTGGCATCCACAGCTGAACCAGGGGTTTGTATCATCTGCCTTCAGGAGCCTGAGCCAGAAACGGGGCTTCTCTCTGGGGTCAGGGCTCAAACTGCCCCAAGAACAGGGGGAGGGGACACCTGAACCTCCCTGACCAAAATACAGACCCATTAATGAGAAGCCAGGAGGGGACAATTGGGCACAAGCCCCTCCTGTGGGTCAAACCCTCTGCCTCCAGCTCCACTGACCGAGAAGCCCCTGCTCCTCCTCCCATTCAGGCTTCAGCCAGACACCTGAAGTCAGATGGTACAAGTAACAGCAGGAAAAGGAACTGGATGGAATTGCTGTATTTATTGCATTAAGAAAATAATATACTTTACATCACAGTGCTTAATTAAATGCAATTAAAAAAATGTAAACTCAGGATTCTAGATAAAATTTAACTTGAAAAATTCGGGCTCCAGAACTTTTTAAAATTCACAGTTTTTTTTTTTAAAAATTGAAGTCACAGACAGTCAGTTCACGTAACTCACGTATTTAAGATGACTTGTAAATCCCTGTTGATGCACTCCACTGTTTGGTCACTTTTTTTGTTTGGTTTTTTTTAAATTTTTTTTTAAAAAAAGCCTAAATAACAAATAGACCAAGTGCAAGGTAAGAGGTATTTTTTTTTTTTTATTTGCCAAGAAATAAACTTCAGAAGTAATTTTGGAAGGGGGGCAGGTGGAGTGCTCTAGTAGATGTAAGGAAATATGCGGTACGGAACGCGCCGACAGTACCTTTCCCAGGCCAAGCCGTACTTTTGCTTACAGTGATGTTCATCACGAGCTTCTCGATGGACAAGCAAACAGATGAAATAGATCACGTAGAAATACGGTAAAATGTGATTAAAACCTGTAGAATAAAGTGAGAAAGTCACTTCAAACACAGAAAAAAAAAATATCTAGAAAAGTTAGGTGTTAACGACATCTCCTAAGCTGGTAACACACACATAGTATGGACTGTTGCGTCTTATACTGTAAAGGATCAAACAACAGGACAGTGCAAAAATTGTGTGACGTGTTTATATGCAGGTAAGACACACAAAAAAAGAAAAAATAGTACTTACATTCTGAGTCTCAAAATCTACTAACTTCCCCTCACAGCCCTGAAGGGGCTACAAGAGATGGGGAGGGACTCTTGATCAGGGAGGGGAGCAATGGAACGAGGGGGAACAGTTTTAAACTGAAAGAGGGGAGATTTAGATGAGATCTCAGGACGAAATTCTTTCCTGTGAGGGTGGTGAGACACTGGAACAGGTTGCCCAGAGAAGCTGTGGCTGCCCCATCCCTGGAGGGGTTCAAGGCCAGGCTGGATGGGGCTTGGAGCAACCTGGTCTGGTGGGAGGTGTCCCTGCCCATGGCAGGGAGTTCGACTAGAACCTTTAAAAGCTCCTTCCAACCCAAACTTTTCTATGATTCTGTGATCCCCTCCCACCCATTCCCACCCACCACACAGTTACAGCAACGCTTTCACCTCTGCCATTACGATACTGACAGAGGATTCAACTCCTCCATTTTCATGAGGGGAAATCCTCTTCGGGGTTACTTTCTACAAGCATATATGCTAATTTAGTACCATCTAATTTCAATTAAAATCCAAAATAAAATTAACCCCTGGAGCGACACCTGAATTTGCCATTCAATTAATTACAGGTTTTAGTATCTCAAATAACCCTCACTTTGTGTTTCAAACCCAGTCAGATGCCAACACGTAAAAGCATTTTTTATAAAATCCACTTTAGTTTCAGGAACTTACCACAGGGCAGGGACCACGCTAGAGCCATGATGATGTCACCCAGATAATTAGGGTGACGAACAAAACCCCACCAACCCGTGACAAGGAGCCCTTTTCCAGTGGCCGTGGGTATAAATTTCAGATCTGTGAAGAGAGCATTGTAGTCAATGCAACAATTGAAATGTGTGTTTAACAAAGAGACATTGTACAGCAATTGAACAGATGAAAAATGCACTTACAGGCCAATTTGGGATCTGATGGATTCCTTCGGAAATTATTTTTCTGAGAATTTGCACTACGGAATATGTAATACCCAATACCTGAAAAAAAATATTATTTATTTTGCATTTTCAGTATTTTCCAGTCCTCTTTCCTTCAACAAAAGCATTCTGCTACGCTTCACTCAAAACGTTTTAAGTCACTTCAACTCCAGAGAGCACCCATCTAAAGCCACTTCAGCAGAACAACGAGGTGTCCAGATTCTTATTTATCCTTCATTTAATAAAATGAGAATTTATTATATTTTTGGTATTAAACAGTAGCCAGACACGCTTCCACCAGCTGTGGTGATACAGAAAATATGATTGTTGCATCTTGGCTAAAGCTTCCCTTCACACCTCAACGAAACCCAGTCAGTACTACTCTGTTGCTACCAGTGATAACAGTAACAGTTGCTCCAACTCACAGTTCAGAACGGTGATGGCAGCAGCAACGGGCCAAGAAATGGCCGTGGGGTGGCCAACTAAATAGAAGGCCTGCAGGCTGTAGACAAAGGGAACCCACACCAGATCTCCAAACACCAGCATGAATCCAAATCCATCATGGGTAATGTCCATTGTAGTCAAAACAGCTTCCTGGGAACGGGAGGAAGGAATTTACAATTTGCAAAGCCTCGTTCATGTAACATTAACAGTTCATACAATCGGTATTTACCTCGTTCCACAGAGCATCCACCACATACAGCAGCTGAAAGCTGTTCACGAGTACCATCGACAGAGAGGGCGTGCTCTGATTGTGTATCTTCATCTCAGCCAACAGCATGGCCAAGTTTATCACCACCTAGGTTAGAAAATACGCTATTACAAATTTTCCTTTTAAGAGATGGCAGTCTTTTCTGTTACATTATAGATGTTTTTGAACAATATTTAAGTTTTACAAAAATAATAACCCATTTCACAAGCAATAGTTTGCAACTACCAACAGTTCTCTGTGCCACATTTAAGCAAATAAAATAAAAATCTCTACGATTACTGACTCACCCAGCCAATCAGTCCAGGACGCAACTCACAGAAGTATTTGAGGTCGAAACTGCCAATCCGAGGGTTTAATTCATGTCCAATAAAAAAATCATAAACCAGATACCCTACAGATAAGACACATCTCTGTTAGCAATACTGCTCCTGTTGTCCTCCACCACGCTCCCCAGAGTAGTTCCCTCTTCCTACTAACAATGCCTCGTTATAAATAAAAAAGTATTTAGGTTGGCAAGAAAAACATAAGAGTAAATGCAAAATAGAAAGCAAACTCCCCATGGTTTATATTTTAAGCAGCCCAAGTATTTTATTTTCTAGGAGCATTAAACATTTTGGAAGTTACTACTACAGTCTTAGTTCTTTCTTGACATTTGCTCCTTCTTTCTTTTCAGCTTTCTCCTCAACCTCACATCACAGTTTCTGTGATCATGATCTTACAATACTAATTCATTCTAACAAGTATTTTATTTTCTAGGAGCATTAAACATTTTGGAAGTTACTACTACAGTCTTAGTTCTTTCTTGACATTTGCTCCTTCTTTCTTTTCAGCTTTCTCCTCAACCTCACATCACAGTTTCCGTGATCATGATCTTACAATATTAATTAATTCTACTTTTTTTCCTTCTTCACTGCTCTTCTCTGGGAGGAAGAGTTCCTTTAGCTGTAACAGCCACCTGTCCATTGGAACAGATGGTCAAGAAGGGAAAAACAAAACCTTGACTTCAAGTTATCCCACACTACTGAGTTAGCAAATAGCAAGCACTTTGCGGAACAGTTACAGAGGCTGCTGTGCTGCTCACAGAGACCAGGCCTGTGCCTGTCAAATTAAAACCTGTTTCTGATCATTGTATTATTTCCCCTCACGCACAAACACACGGCACTGACAAAGGAACTGAGGCTGTTTCAATACTTCATCTTTACACTGAATGTTCTGTCCAACAGCTCCCTTTCTTAGTCACTGTATGATCACTTTTAATATGTTTGACCACATTTGTTTAATATTGAATGCTAATTGATTTCTCAGTCTATCCTCCAACACACGGCACTGACAAAGGAACTGAGGCTATTTCAATACTTCATCTTATTACACTGAATGTTCTGTCCATCAGCTCCCTTTCTTACTCGCTGTATGATCACTTTTAAAAGCAGTTTGTTTAATATTCAATGCTAATTGATTTCTCAGTCTATTCTCTGTCCTACAAAACCCCAGGCATAAAACTGACACTTTCTAAGGAGGGAATCTCACAAAGGAATCAAAATTTATTTTGAAAACTCAGCTCAGCTCACTAGATTTAAAAGGGCACGACAAAACAGATGTTTAGAAATACACTGTAATTTCAAGTTCTGTACCTGACTTCCCACTGCCAAAATACTTAGATTTTTCCGGTTTCCTTTTTCTTTCCATTCTCAGGTGTTTGGGGAAAAGGCCCACGAGCGGGGGCACTAATGAAGCAAACGAGGCCCCTTAGACAAACGCTTAAAACTGAAGGGAAGGACCCGTCCCCTCATCGCCAGGGGACTAGACCCACCCAAGTATTTTTGCAAAAGCTGCTCAAGATAATCCAGCTACAATTTTAAGCATTTTACAGCACCTGAGCGTGAACAAAAAATTGCCGTTTAACTTGCAACGTGAATTTTACATTGGTAGAAAGTAAAACTCACAGTATTATAATAACCAGCCCTAAATCTAGCCTTTAAAAAAAAAAAAAAAAAAAAAAAGGAACCACAGGAAACGATTGGCAAGAAATTATCCACCATACTTGGAACTCACCAGAATTCCCACTGGGTGCTAGTTCCTCCTCGGGCGCTTTCAGGGACTGGATGTAGAGGTAAATGCTCAGCCCCAGAGAGAAGGCTGCAGCCGACACCGCAAACTGCATGAAGTGATCGTACAAATAATGAAGTTCAAATTGGAAGTATAATAAAATCCCAACAGCTGCAGCAGTCAAAAGAAAAGCGTAAAACCCTAAAGGATGCAGAAGAAAAACACGTTAGCCAAAATAAATCAATCATTCTGCTAGAACCTACCCAATCCAGCCTTTCTGCATTTTTATGTCTGTATTCCAGTAACATCTTGCACATCCCACACTCTTGAGGTTGGGACTTCTGGAGCACAGCAATATGCCCACCACATTCTATCTACGCCCTGAAATTTCCTGTGCTCCTCATCGAAAGGAAAGGAGGCAGAACACCCAACGCTCCTCCATTTTTTCCAGCACAGGATCCAATTTCAGATTTTGGTGGAAAAATGGGAGCTGGCACTACTACTATGAGGTAATGAGGGCGGGTCACAAAACCTTATCTGTGGGACAGCACAGATAACCGTATTTTCTTCTTCGAGTTATCTTCATATATACCTTGATACAGCATTAAAATAACTATTAAGTCAAAACTTTTGTACTTTGAGAGTATAAAATCACGTAGAAGGGAATAATGTCCAAAAATAAGCAGGCAGCTCTACACAGCTCTCACTTAAGTACCTCCTATGAGCAACCTCACAGGGTCACCAAGGCTGAGGTTGGAAGGGACCTCTGGAGCCCATCTAGTCCCTCTCCCCTGTTCAAGCAGGACCACCCAGAGCCAGTTGCCCAGGACCAGGTCCACACAGCTTTTGGGCATCTCCAAGGATAGGAAACTCCACAACTTGCCCATGTGGCCTGTGTCAGTGCTCGGTTACCCTCACAGTATGAAAAAAGTGTTTCCTGATGTAACGTCTTGCTCTTGGGACAGTTAGTTCCTCATCACTACTAACCTCCTTCTTCCAAGAAAACGTTCACCCTATTTTATGAAAGATTTACAACAGCTACTTAGTGCCGTGCTGTCAGTGCGGCTTTTGCTCTACCTATTAAACTGGCTTTATCTCAACCCATGAGTTTTTTCCTCACTTTGACTCTTCTGAGTCTCTCCACCATTGCAGCTGGGGGAATGAGCTGCCGGCGGGTGTTAAACCACCCCCAGTTTGACCAGAAAGCCTGTCTTTCATCCCTTGTGTCTTACAGTACTGACAACTGTATCCCATTTCAGAATAAGCGACTGCAACGCACTCACCATTTATCCGGTACTGCAGTCTCCTTCCATTTGAAAGGGGCAGGCCTTCCACAACCTAGGACGAATAAAATACTAGTGTTTAACAACGTACTTTTTTTGGGAG